GAGCCCCCACCCTGTGGAACGAACTCCCCCCAGAGATCCGGATTATTCCGGATCTCCCCTCCTTCCGCCGTGCCCTCAAGACATGGCTTTTCCATCAAGCGGGATTGGCCTAGGGGGGGATTTTATAGGGATTTTAAAGGGATTTTATAATTTTTATAATACAGGTTAATTAATATATATTTTAATTTGGCTTTTAAATGTTTATTGTATAGCTCTGTTTTTATTTACCTGTAAGCCGCCCTGAGTCCCTCGGGAGAAGGGCGGGGTATAAATTAAAGTAATAATAATAATAATAATAATAATAATGCAACACAAGTACCTCTTGTGGCAGTGAGTTCCATATAATGCTTGCCACCCCCGGAGGCTCCTAACCCCCCCCCCAATTTCCTGCTACTTCTTGGCAGCTCCTCAAGCATGCATGTTGGGGTTTTACACACATGGATGCCCAAAAAGTGCCTAGTGCTTGTAGGAAGCAACTCCAGGACAGAGGGATGGAGCCAGTCTGGGCACTGGCCAAGGTTGCAGGAGGGCGGCTGCTGCCTCTGCCTTGTGGCCCAAAAGGGCTGCCCAGCATTCTGCCTCCCCCCCTCCCGCCCCCGGCAGCCCCAGGCCCACTTGCACTGAAGGGCACAAGGAGACTTTGAAATTGACAGCACATTTTCTCCTCCACACAAATCTGGAGACATTCCCAGCCCGCCAAGGCCCAGGGCTGTGGTGTTCACAGGGCCAAGGGTGGCACCTCCTCTGGAACAGTTGGGGAACAAAGGAGCATTCTGGGGATGCCCCAGTGTGACTCCTGCTGAAAGGAAGTTGGCAGGGCTGAGGGGCAGGCAGGGTGGCAAAAACAGTTTTTAGCGCTCAGCTCTACTTCACCAGCAAATCAATCTACTTCGCACCAGGGTTACCTTTGCAGGTAGGTGCACTTGAAGCAGGCAGAGTGCCACTCACCCTGGATCCCGGAGGGCCACCTTCCCCCTTCCGTCTCCAGGCCCCTGAAAAAGCCCTAGTTAGTGGGCGGGGGCGGGATCAGCCCGGCGGACCTAGCTTCATCTCCAAGCCTGCTCCTCGGTTCCTGTCCTAAGGGCTCCCGCCTCCACATCTTCGGCGTGCAGGGAGGCGAGCTCGTTTAAACTGGGCCGGGGTAACTTCCTCACCCTCGGCAGCGCCCGGAACGGGATCGGCCCCCGCCCGGCCCAGGAGTCCGCGCGCCAAAGCAGCCCGGCGGAGGAGGCGGAGCGGCTCCGCGGCTGGGGGCGTTGCAGGATCCGGGCCGGGCCGGCCGGGCGCCTCCGCTCGCCCGCGACACGCCCACCGGGGGCTCCTGCCGGTCCGCCCTCCAGCAGGCAGAGCTTAGCGTCGCGCCGCGTCCCGTCTATGCCGAGCGCCGCCGCGGGTCACGCCCGGGATAGGGAATGGTGCCATGGAGCGCCCGCCGGGCCAACTCCAGCCCGACCCGTCGCCGCAGGCCAAGCTGCCGGGACGCCTGCTGGTCTCCTTCCAGTACCTGCACGTGCAGCTGGCCGGCGGCGCGCCCTGGGGCTTCACCCTGCGGGGCGGGCTGGAGCACGGCGAGCCCCTCGTCGTCTCCAAGGTGGGTCTGCGGCGCAGTCTCCCCGGGGAGCGCGGGCTGCGCGGCTTCGTGCGCCGGGAGGTCCAGAGCCAGCCGCGGCTCTTTGTCTGGCCGCCTCGAGTCCGCCTTCCCGCCCAGGCGCCTCTCCCCCTCGCCGGCTGGGCGTTGCTCGCCCTCCCCCCGGCGGCCCGCCTCGCTCCCTCCCGCCTCCTCCGCGTCCGGCGGCGGCCCGGCTGGGCTCCGGCACAACTTCCCTGCGCTTCTGGGCCACGGCGACGCTCCGCGGCGAGTGAGAAGGACTCCGCCGACTCCCCGCTCCCTTCCCGCGGTTCGCAAGTTGCTGAGGGGGCCTCAGCGGAGATGACCTCGGGTCGCCAGCGGGCAGAGCGGGAGTCGGCGGCGGAGTCCGGCCCGGCGGCTCTCCTGAGAGGAGGGATGCCCGGGTCGCCTCCCTCCTCAAGGACGGCGAGAAGGCTCGGCTGGGCGCGGAGAAAAGCCGGTCGCCCGCCGAGGCCTCGTGGGGCCGGTGCCTCCCGGCGCCACCTTAAAGCGGAGGGGCCGCGGGGGCCCCGGCGCCAGCCCAATCCGGGGAGGCAGCGCGGGGGTGGGTGGGGGGGCAGGACAAGCTGCTCTTGCCATCCTGGGGGTCAACCCCGCCCCCCAGCGGGACTTCCCTGAGGAGCCTCTGTGGGCTCAGCGGAGGGAACTGCCCTGAGCTGGACCCAGCCGGGCTTGATGGCTTCTGCTGTGGTCCCTGGACTGGGATCTTCTCCCAGAATCTTCCCCAGCAGAACTCCAAAGAAGGATGGGCCTTCCTTGCGGGCCCTCCCTGTTGATAGCCAGCTTATGGGGCCTTCCGGGGCTTTGGCAGCCTGCTAAGGTGAAGCTACAGAGAAGGGGGGAGCTGAAGATCTGGCAGCTCTTCCTCCTGCCCCAGGACAGGCAGGGCTGGCCGCCCCGATTATTGACTGGAAAGTCCTGGGAGCTCTGTGTGGATGGAGGCTTTTGCTGTTGACCCTGGCTTGGAGACTGTGCTAGAAATACAATTATTGGCAGTGTGGATGATGCCGAAAAAGCAGGAACTGCAGGAGCCTTAAAATGTGGGATTGAAATAGTTAGAATGTCCACAGGATGAATTTCAGCAGAGAAAAATGCCAGGTCAGCTTTTAGGTAGGCAAAATCCAAGGTGTGAAAGGGGAGGGGAGAGGAGGGGCTCCCTCGGGCTGCAGGGAATGCAGAGGGGATCAGGACCTCACAGCTGGGCCTCGGTGCCAAAGTCTAATGCAGAAGAGGAAAGGTGGTCCTGAGCTGCACTGAGCAAAGATGAGCCTGTACAATGTGAGGAAGAGAGAGGCCGTTGTTCACACCTGGAATAACGCAGCTGCTCCCGGCTCCCACATTTTAGGAAAGGCACTGATAGACCAGCAGGAATCCAGAGAAGGGGATGAAAGGCTGAAGGAAGATGTGGGGGGGGGGATGGGCAAGCACGTGGCAGATGTGTAGGCTGGGGAAAAGAAGAGTGGGGCAGAGGGGCTAGTTGTCCTCTGGGAAGAATTCCTAATGGTTGGAGCTCTTCTGCAGTGGGACAGGTGCAGAACTCTCTTCCGTTAGGTTGGTGACCATCTGGTGTGGATGCTGCACTGAGCTAAGGGTCAGACTGGATAATCTCCAAGGTTCCTCCCGTGATAGGATTCTTGATTAATCTAGGCAGTCCTGGACCACAGGGACTACCCTGAATTGGCCAAGGTCGTCCCTCCTAGGCTCGTGTATTTGGTGCTGGGTGCAAGGACTGACTTGTGTCCCCAAGGAAAGGGAGCTGAGTCGCTCCCATTGCCAGCCACATGCCAAGCCTCTCCCAGAGGGAGCCCCAAAGCCCTGTGCTGAGCAGGAACAGCCCCAAGGCAGCGAATGAATGATTAACTGCCCTTGTGTGCCGGCAGGGATGGAGCTCCCGACAGGCAGCTGTGTGGCTCCCCTTGGCTGGGAGGCTCTGGGGAAGAGCCAGGGAGTTTTCAGGGAGGGGGGGAGCCCTCTGCCAGGGTCTCTTTTGCCACTGCACAAAAAGTGCCTCTCCTGAGCCCCCAGCTTCCCCCAGCCCTCCTGGGCTCTGCCTTTCCAGAGGGGATCCTGTTTGGGCCCTCAGCAGTGGGGGATGAAGGTGGTGGGGCAGGCCAAGAACTTTTCTGCCTGGGGAGCAGCACCCATGAAGCCTGCTTCCTCCACGCTCTCGTCCACTCTCTGCGCCCGCCTACTGGAGCTGCTCTGCGCAGATGGGCTGCATCCACCGGCGCCTGTGCTCTGCGCTGGTGTGTTTATGGTCGCTCCTTTGAAACGCCTGGGCCACAATGCAGCGATCTTGCTCCAGCGTGGGGATCTTTGCCTCAGTCAGACGCTCTGTCCCCTAGTTGAGAGGCATAGCCCGAAGGTTTTTCCAGGCACCCAGCCCCAGAGGGCTGAACAGTCTGGGGTGTGGGCCTTGGGGGAGTCAGGACTCGCTTGCCCCCCCCTGGGGGCAAAGAATGCTCCCACTAGGTCTGATTCCAGGCCAGGGAATAGTGACCCTTCTTTTCTGTCTGGCAAAATCGTGAGCAGGAACAAGGATTGCTTTGTACAATAATTAGCAGCCAGCCAGCAAACTCTCTTCTCCCTACGCACTCAAGGCTGGCCTTGCCTCTCTCAGCTTCCTTCTGGCAAGCTGGCTTGCTACTTCTTCCACCTCCAAGCATCCAAGTTCAGTGGGGCCTGTCCCACACGGCTCACTGCAGGATTCCAACTGCAGGATGGACCTGCCTTCTCTCCTTCTCCTGGGGCTCCTCGGTGGCCAGGAGCACAGGACAGATCACCCGAGGAAGAAGGCTGCAGCATGGAACCCCTCGAAGACCCCTTCCTGTGACCCATCTCTGAGACTGACCAGCCACTGTGCCTGAAGCTGGCACAAGATCTCCGTGAGAAGCTGGACCAGGCCTTCCTGCTGGAGAAGGTTAACTCTGACTCTTCCCTGCCACTGGGTGTGGCTCTTTCACAGCCGCATGCCCAGGCCTTGTGGGCTCTCCGTGTCCTGGGGCCAGCACAACTGGCTCTTGTTCAGCCAGACCACGAGGAGCCCCTGCCTTCTCCCTGCTGACCGTGTGACTGGCAGTGAAGGGCTGCCCATTCCTCTCTCTCAGCTTGGGCCTCAGCTTGGGTTTGGTCTCAGAGCACAGGGTGCAGGCCAGCGCCTGCAACAGCGCTGACTCTTGAACCACTCTTTGTGGGGGCTGATCCTGCAGGAGTCCTTGAGAAGATCCCCCAACTGGTGGCTCTATGATGGATCTCCTTTGGTGAGTGGGGGAGACCCTTCTCCCCTGCATGAGGGGATTGCAGCAATCTTTGTCTACTGGACAGTGGCAGCTGATTAAAATCACTTATTGTTTCTTATATGTTGTTGCTGTGAGTTGCCCAGATGGGCATACAAGCTGGTCCCTTGGCCTGGCCGTTGTCCTGCGGTGGCTTTCAGGTGACCCTTCACACCTTGGCTCTACCCCTCCAGGTGGAAGATGGGGGGAAGGCGGCCCTCTCACAGAAGATGCGCTTGGGCGATGAGCTGGTGAACATCAACGGCACTCCGCTCTACGGCTCCCGGCAGGAAGCGCTCATCCTGATCAAGGGCTCCTACCGCACGCTCAAGATGATCATCCGGAGGTGAGGAGAGAGAGAGAGAGGGACACACACACACACATACACACCCCGCATACACACATACTGACCACACCGGCCTCTCCTGCCCGGGAAGAGTTCTTCCTGAGTAAGAGGTTGTAGGTGGCGCATAGCTTTCCTCTGGAGCTGGGGGACTCTGTTCTCGCCACAGCAAAAGAGGCGGGTGGGCTGCAGTCCAGTCAGCAAGGCGCTGCTCCTGCCAGATTTCCGGCTTGGAGCGGGGACTGGGGGGGGGGGAGGCATGTGTGTGTGCCTGAGCTCCTTGAGGTTGGCTGCAGCTGCCATCCTGTGGCAGGAATTTGAGATTGCACACCAATTTGTAGTTGGCAAAGGCGGTGTGAAACCCCTTGTGCCTTGAGTAGAGATTGGCTTTTTTTTAAAGAACTCTATTTGGTTCCTCCTCTATTCCTCTCCTGCCTCCAAAGCAGGCCAGTCCTTCAGGAGGTCTAGTTTTCAGTGTTGCAACTAGTAAGAACTGAATGTCTCTGAAATGCAGAAAACGTACCATCGCCTGGGACGATGCTATTGGCAGGAAAATCTGCCTGCAGAGTGCGGGGTCTCTTTAAGAAACAGAAAGTAGCTCAGACAAATACAGTACATGCTTTCTTTATTAGTCTGGGATTTGTCTACATGGACGGATCAGTTCCAGGTCAATAAAGCCTGTCTGAGGCACTGGCTGAGGCCCTTTGGGGAATTGCCCAAGAACTGGCTCGGTCAGCAGTGAAGCCGACAACCATGGAGGCTTCCTCCCTCTCCTGGCCTTTGCCGCCAGAGCCACCAACGAATGGCGCTTTTGGTCTGTGTCCTTCTGGAGCTGCTGCCAGAAAACTGAAATTTTCTGACCACGTCCCTAAAAGCAAACAGGCATCATTGGTCCACTCGAACATTCCTCTGAAACCACTGTGCTTTCCCCATTCTCCCTGGTGCAAATCTTGAGATACTGAAAGGCTCCACAACCCCACACTGGGGATACCTGCGGTGATCCCTCCCTTCTCCCGAGGCCAATAGCAGCCAGAGAGCAGGGGCCGCCAGTCTGCCTGCCTGCCACTGGAGAGGCCTGGTCACTCGGGGTCCAGGGGTTGTCCTGGAAGGAGGACAAACTGAGATGACCTTCTGGGGTTTCAGGGTGTCCTGATCAGATGCTCTTTGGGCTACACCAGGCAGAGGGCCAGGTGGCTCCTATGCAGCCCCCCCCCTGGAGGAGTGGGGCTGGCTGTGGAAGTGGGCCGGGGGGGGGGGCTGCGGCAAAGCTCTTGGCTACTCCAGTAGATCCCCACTGTCTCTCCTGTAGATCTGAATCGGTTTGGGGTTCTGGAGTCGGGTATGTTGAAAAAGTTTTATTTTTCTTTTTGGGGGGAGAGAGCCAGAAAACTTGATGGTTCTGGCCTGAGTATCATGGAGGGAGCACCAGAATAATGGGCCTGTCTTGGAGTGGAGCATGGGTGGGGGAGTCTTTTGGCACCTCTCCGGGCTGCTATTTGTGGAGTTCACAGCTCTCCATAAACAGTGGGGCTGGGGTTGTGCTTGCCTTTGGCCCCACAGCTTCTCTACTCCATCTCAGCTCCTGCTTCTTCTTTGCCCCCAAACTGAGCTAGCAATGACCTCATCCTTCCTGCACTTTGTCCCAGCCACTTCCTGTGGGGGGGGAGGGAGGGAGGGAGGGAGGGAGGGAGAGGGGGCAGTCCTGAAGCTCAGCTGGAAGCCCTGCTTTCAGCAAGAGGCATTCTGGAATTCCCCCTCTCCCCCGCCAGGCAAGGCAAGAGGCTTGGCCCTCCCCACCCTGGAGAGCCTCATCCACCCACTTCTCCCCTAGGAGGCAGCCCTGAGGGAGGGACACTTCCTCCACCCCACCCCACCCCCCGCCACCACCTTGAGGGGAGGGGCTGCTCCAAGAGGCAGGAAGCCCCTTCCCTGGGGTCTCGGCCGCTGCCAGCAAAATTATCTCCCTGGACATCACTTCCTCACCGCTTCCTGGCTGGGAGGAGATGAGGATGGGAATTGGCTCCAGGAGCCTGGAGGGGCAGGAAGCCCTCCCTGCTGGGCTGGCCGCTTCCAGTCCCACTCTGTTGCCTGCAGTGGCTGGTTGGGCTGGGCCGGGCTGGAGCCTGGGCATAGCTGTCTTACCAGACCTCGCTAAGAGTTGGCCAGGATAGGTGTGTATTGAACCTGCAGGGGGGGAGGGGGCTCTCCTTTCCATGTCTGATTGTGCATGGCTTTGGGGGGGGGCTTGGGGGGGAGCTGACTTGGCTGGGGTGATGGCAATGAAAAGCCTAGGTCCCCCCACAGGGCATGGGGCTCGGCCTCTGGGTGGAGAGGCAGGTGCACGTGGCTCCTGCTGATGCCTTTCTGTGGGTTCTTGTCCGGTAGCTGCTGGGTTCATGGCACTGTTAGTCCGTTTGGGGCAGGCAGGGCTCTGGCTGCAGGGCCTCCTTGCCCTTGTCCTCCCTGTCCTGCCCTCTGTCTCTGCTCTGTCCTGGCCCACCGGCTGATCTTGCCTTGCCGGAGTGGCTCAGCCTCGGTAGCACCAACCAACAAGGAGCCCGGAAGTTTCCAACTGAGCATTCACTTCCAGCCGGAGGTCCCCAAGTGGCTTTTGTTAATGGCATTCTGCTGGGCTGGGCTGGGCTGGGCTGGGCTGGGCTGGGCTGGGCTGGGCTGGGCTGGGCTGGCAGGAACTGGGGGGGGAGGCAGATATGGGGCACTGTCTCTGGCTTGCCTCTCCTGGTGTCCCCCTCCTCCTCTCCAGAGCACAGCTTGTCTTTCAGGGATGGGGGCAGCCATCCAGCTGGGTGGGGCCGGGAAGGAAAAGGCTCGGACCGCCCTGGGAGAGCAGCAGTGAGCCAAAGAGAGGCTTGGGAGGCGGCGAAGGGCACACTTGGGCACAGGGCAGGGGGCAGCTGGCTTCACCTAGCAGGTGTTGTGCCCACCGGGCTTGCCAGCTTCCTGCCCCTCACTTTCCTTTTGCTTTGCCTGAAAGGAGGAACGTGCCCTTCATCAGGCCCCACTCATGGCATCTGGCGAAGCTCTCCAAAGTCCAGACTGAGGGCACCATGGCTTTTCCTGCTGACCCCCTGAGTCTCTCCTGGCACTTGGACTGCGAGACAAGGTGAGCGCCAGAGGAAAGAAGGGCAAGGGGGCTGGGGGCGGGAATGGGGGGCAGCTACTTCGCTCCTGTGGGTCCTCTCCGTCAGCAGAGGGCAAGGTTGCCTTTCTTCTCCAGAGGCACAGCTGGCTTTCCCATCGTGGGCTGAAAGAGCGCAGCCCACCACAGCTGACCCTGGCGACAACCAGCCTCTGTTGCCCCACCTGCCTTTTGTGGCCCAGGCTGGGAGGACAGGAAGGGTCCCAATTGTGAGCACACGGCTCCAAAGGCCTCTTTGCTTGCAGGCCGTTCCCTGCCTGGCTTTCCTGCAGGGCTTGGGGGCAGCCCCAGCGCCTCCTCTCCGGCTGGTCCGGGCACCACTGTGCCCATCCTGAGTGCTCCTGAGCCTCGAATGCAGTGCTGGGCACCATTTCTCTGGGAGGCCTTGACTGCGTTTTGTCCCATCGGGAGGGGGGCAGAATCATGCAGGCTGACAGCAAGCAAAGGAGGTCTGGGAGCCTGGTTGTTTTCCTGTAGACATTTCATCACTAGGTAACTAGGTAACGTCACCAAGGACCCCTCGCTTCAACCCTGAGCTACAATATTCTCCTTCAAAGGAGCAGTGGATTCAGCTCCTTTGCCAGGCAGGCAAGAGGAGCTGCCAACTCTCTCTGAGTTGCAGGATGTGGCATGGCAGGCAGGACCCACGTGAGCCGGAAGAGCCGTGTGCGAATCCGGACAGGACTTCTCTTTTGGAGGAGCTGCTCCTACTCAGCGTCCCCCGGATTGGGATCGGGCTGGGTCTTTGCGGTGCAGAACCCACAGTCCTTCCCCCCCCCCATGGTTGGCATTCACTCTCCAATGAGAGCTTCAGCCTGGCAGTGGCTGGACAGGAAGGGCTGCTCTGGAGCCCTGGGAAGACTTGGATTCGATGTGCCCATGATGCTGCTCTCAGTGGCAGGCAGGCTCCTTGTTTGCAGGCAGGAAGGGCTGGGCCCTTGGTGGCACCTCGGGTTGCCCTTCTTGGCCTGAGTCCCAGTAGATGATTGGACGTTTCCCTCCCACATCCGGGCAGGGAGCAAAAGGAGTTGGCGGCCCGAGGTGGTGGACAGAGGGTTGAGGGAAGTCAAGTGACAGTCTGTGGGGGCCTGGTGGGGAGAGCCAGTGTGAAGGGCTGCTGCTGCACCATCAAGCAAGCAGCCGTGGGCCAAAAGGCATTGGGGAGCCAGGCAGGGCTTCCCTGCCCCTGTGACATGGGGGCCTCCCCTTTCTTCCTGCCCCCAGTGACCTGCCTTTGCCGTGGAACCCTCTCTCTCCCCACTGCACCACAGAAAAGAACAGCTCCCTCGGGAGCATGGAAAGTCTGGACCCGGCCAGCCAGACCTACTATGAGGGCAGCCTGTCCCCCATTGACCAGGCTATGTACCAAAGCAAGCGGGACTCTGCCTACAGCTCCTTCTCGGCCAGTTCCAGCACTTCTGACTCTGCGCTGCGACCTGAGGAGGCCGGCTCCGTGGATGGCACCCAGCCCGGTCAGCTGCCAGAGCCTCGCTACCTGCAGACGGGGGGTGAGCCGGCAGGCCTGCCCTCCCCAGCTTCTGGTGTCCGGTTGCCCTCCAGCGTCCAGTCAGGCTCTCTTCCCAGCCCTGCCAAAGCGGCTGCCGTCCCTCCCCAGCCGCCTGTGAGACAGGACAGTCTGCGTGCGTGTAATTCCCCGCTGGAAGACCCAAGAGCCCCCAGCCACACAGGTTCTTTGTGTCCCGAGGATCGGTGGAGCTCGGACACTGCCCTCTGCACACCTGGCAGAGATCCCCATGGGCAGTTGGCCACCACAGGCCCCCTGAAGGACTCTCCAGTCACTGACCAGTACTACCTGCTGAGCTCACACACAGAATCGCACTCCGGGATGATGAAGAAGGGCCCACAAACCACCCCCTCCTCTTTGGCTGAGAGCCCCAGCTGCCCTGTAGGAGACCCCCCTGAAGAGAAGGAGCACACAGGGGAGGCCAACAACCATGCAGAGCCCCCTTCTTCCTGGAAGGCTGGCTGGGCCGGGTCCTTCCGCCATCGCCACAGCATCCCAGAACACTTGCTGGTTGCCCAGTTGCAGGCCTTGGATGTCTCCCGTGGCCAGGAGGGTCCCCACTGGACAGTGTCCCCGCTGCACAAGGAGCAGAAGAGCATGCAGGCTCCAGAGCCATGGCTAAATCCAGACCAGTGTGGCCAGAACCCCTGGGCGCCAGCAGAAGAGCCGGATTGCCCCCCAACTGCAGGGGAGGGGTCACCTTCCCCACGGGGCACTTGCACGGCCCTCGTGGCTCTGACTCATTCCTCGCCACTGCCGGCATTGGGCAATGCCAGCACCCCTCGGCCAGGCTTCCAGGCAGCCCCCCACATTGATGGTTTGCCAGACGCTCAAAGGAGCCTCCCAGCTGCCCAGAAGGCCCAGCATCGCTCTGCGCAAATCCGCCGGCGCAGTGACCGCTTCGCCACCAACCTGCGGAATGAGATCCAGTGGCGCAAAGCCCAACTGCAGAAGGCCAAAGGTCCCGGGGGGCTAGGGTGCGAAGAGGAGACCCCCCCAGAGGCAGAAGAGCCCCCCACCCATACCGCGACTCCTGCCTCGCCTCCTCCCTTAGGGGAGGGCAGACTCCGTGGCTCCTCTGGGCTGCCAGCTGTGTCCCCCAAGCGGTGGGGCCCTGAGCTAAGTGTGTTTGGGGAGGAGAGAGCCCCATGCAGCCCCCAGAGGCTGTCTGGGGACCTGGTGCCCAAGGAGAAGCCTCTGCCACTGACCTGTGCGGGAGGAGGGGGAGGCGGCCGCTGGCGGTGGTCCCCTCAGCACAAGCTCCAGCCTCAGGAATCAGAGCCAGGGCCCTCCTCACAGCCACCTTCGGAGGAACCCGGCCTGTGGCCTTTTGCTGACCGGCAAAAGTTCTTTGAGGAGACGAGCCGCCCGTTGTCCGCCAGGCCCTACAGTTCCCTTCAGGGCAGGCTTGACGACACACGGACCCCCGAGACAGAGAAGCCAGGAAGCACTGAGCACGGGGACTTCCAGTGCCACTCTCTTGATCAGTCCTACCGGTGCCCATCTTCGCCCCCCAACTACCAGGACTTCCAGCCAGAGATTCTGGGGCCATGCAAGTCCCTGGCTCGATCCGGTATGGACGCTGAGCGTTGGTGGGCTATTCCTTGCTCATGCGCTATCCGAGAGTCCTGCGCCTACAGCTTTCGGGATGAGTGCGCCATGCTGCATTCAAAGAACGTTCCAGTGCCACCCAGCCACCGTGCCCACCATTGTCATCCCTGTTCCTGGAGCTGTCACAGTGAGTGCTGTTGCCCAGGTCAGCAGAAGCTCCTGGAGGATGGAGATCCCTGGCAAGCAAGGAAGCGTTTTCAAATGGTAAGTCGGATTTTCAAATCCTTCCTCCACACCAGCTGGGGATGGGGGAAGAAAACCTCAGCTGCTGGGATGGGCTTTCACTGACTGCCCAGCCTCCTCCCCTTTGCCCAGGTCAAGGGGCTCTGTGGCCTCTTCCATCCCTTCCCCTCACTCTCCCCTCCTGCCTCCCAGGAATTCCCTCTGGACGAGTGGGAGCCCTCAGCTGTGAACAGAGCAAGCAGCCACACTCTGAGGTAAGCGTTTGCCAGGCAGAACAGAAATGGGGTTGGCCCCAAAGAAATGGGAGGGGTGGCATTCTGGGCTGCCTGCTGTTTGCTGGGGGGGAGGGGTGTCTCTGAGAGCCTCCCATTAGCAGCGAGGGGAGACACTAATCTGTGCCTGCTTCCCCCCCCCCCCCAATGAAGGCTCAGAAATGGGTGACCCTTCTTAGCAGACAGGGCGCATCTCTGAGAGAGGATTTGGAGCTGGTCATCATGGGTGGCCTCCCCTGTCGGGCCTTCTGATGCCAGCATTTGCATGCACAGGCTTGGCGTGCTGGTGCCTTTGAGGAGCAGCTGCCCCTTGTGGGGGAGGCCAACCTGTAGAACCGAGGAAGCAGCCAAGTTGGCTGCTGTTAATCTGCATCTCTCTGGCTAAGTGAAATGACTCAGCCAAAGGACCCTTGTTCCCTCCTCAGAGCAAGGGTCTCGAGCAGCCCCCGCCCACTGAGGGTGGGAGAAGGTAGATTCCCCCCCCACAGTCATGTCTGCAGCCCCCTCCTCTTTTCTCCAGTCAGCTCCGGCATCACAAGGTGGCCTTCGCTAGGATCAGCCCTTACTGGACCTGCTTTGAGCGCACCGAACCGGCTGGGCCTCCTTTATGCCGGGCCCCATCCACACATGATCTCTCCTGGGACTGCGAGCAACCAAGGCGGGTCACGGAGAAGAGAGGCTTGGAAGGGGGGCCCAGCGAGGCTCACAAACCCCTCTTGCGTGAAAGGGCCTATTCGGAGAGCCACCTCTGCGCTGAGCCTGCTGGTGTCTCTGCGAGGGAGTGGCAAGAAGCCCTGTTGGCCAAGGCGGAGGAGACATCACCAAAGTCACCACCATGCCAAGCCAGAAGAAGGGGGCCCCCGCCTCCACGGCCCCCCCCACCCAACTGGGAGAAGTACCGCCCAGCCCGGGCTTCACACCAGCAGCTTCTCCCTACCCAAGCCTGCCTGCCCGTGCATGCGCGGGACTCCTGGGCCCCGGGCCAGCCTGGCTTTGAAGCAGCCAGGCAGCGTTCTCAGAGCCTCCCTGCGGAGCAGCTGTGGCACCACAGGCCGCAACGGCAGTGCCCGCGGCTGCCCTGTGCAGGACCTGATAGCACCCCTTCCACCCCGAAGCAAGACAACTCCCACTACTACTGCCATGGGTCGCCATCCCGGAGCCTGGAGTGGCTGATGACCGAGGCGAGTGACTGGAGTGCTCCATCCAGGCAAGTGGCCGGCCTTCCGTTGGTTTCAGCTGTCCCGGTTTCCAGATGGGTGGAGGGTTGGGAGGGGTGTCCCTGAGAGACATTGGCTGAGCCCTTCCTGTACAGGCGCCAGTGTCTGCCTTGCCCACTTGAGCCACAGGGAGGGCAATAAAGGGGGGCTGTGGCAGCTGTGCCAATGAGAAGGCTCTCCCTGTCTCCCATCTTCCCTTTAGGGCAGAGAAAAGTGCAAAGGCCCCCTGTAGAAATCAGTTACCCTCCAGCTCTGCCTTCGAAGGGCACAGCCTGGCCGTAAAAAGAGATGGGTTGGTTTTGTGCTTACAGGGCAGCCAGTTCCTTGGAGGAGGGAGCCACCGAGGAGCATCCCCAGGTCAGGGAGCAGGAGACACCAGCCCGCAGCCCCTCAGAGCAGCCCCTCATCTGGCGTGAGTCTGTTCCCTTTGGGGGGTGGCAGAGGGTCCCTGTGGAGGCAGCGCTACTGACTTACACCTTCTATGCCCACAGGTGTGCCTGTGTCCCAGGACGCCGCAGGAGAGAGTCACAAATCAGGGCCTCCTCCCTTGCGCCTGAGTTCGGAGGAACTGATGAGAGATGTGGCGGGCAAGGACCGCTCCCTGGCTGGAGTGCTGAGCTCCGGTTTCGGACTCCGGTCAGCAGCCGAGGTGATGGGTGACCTCTTTGCTGCAAGCAGCTGCCCTCTCTGGCCAAGGCAGGACTGGTTGCCACTAGGCAGTGGTCCCAGCTGCCCTGAAAGGTGGGCACCTTTGGGCTTTGCAGCCTGGGGGGACTCACATGGGAGCAAGAGGAGCAAGCCACAGGAGTGCCAGCCTGACCCCTGGCTGCAGCATCAAACCTGGCTTGGGGAGAGCTGAGTCCGGAGCCCTGTTCTTTCGCCACTCATTCCCTGGGTGATCCTGGCTCAATAATCTCCTCACAGGTTGCTGGGATCAGAAAACTGGGGAGGGGGGCGAGCAACGAGGGATGTTGCTGCCTTGAAGCAATGAGAGAGGAAGAGGAATTGGACAGGCAGATGCAACTGGGCTGTTGGAGCCTCTGTTTCCTTACAGGGATGTTGTCTCTCTCCCCCCCCCCCGCTGATGTAAGACCAGCCTCTTCTCTCCCCCCAACCTGTATCCCATAATGTGTTCTTTTGTGTAGGCAGCAGAATTCTCCTGAGTCCGGGGGAGCCCCCCCCTCCTGCTTGACTTACCTCAATCTGTCAGCGGGCACGGCCGAGCTGCTGAACAAAACGAAGGAGCCGTCCGAGTTGGCTGCAGCCTCTTCAGAAGAGGACCTGGCTCAGAAGAAGGTGAGCTTTCTCTCCTCCCCTCCCCCAGCCAATTGCTGCCACCTGCAGATCGCTGAGCCAGAGAGTCCGGGGCCTGAGCAGCCAGCTTAATGCTAACAAAGTTGCAGGGCCCTTGGCTCCAGATGGATCCCAGGAGCTCGTGGTCTTGGAGGAGCATCTGCAAAGTCCCAGCAGGGCTGACAGCCGGCTAGCCTTTAATTGGGACTGTATCCCCCTTGAAAACACCAACCCCCGCAGTCCTGATTCCTCCTAAATCTTACCAGTGAGCACAGCCTCCACAGGCAGCCGCTGATTTCTCTGCTCTGCAGGTGCAGCTGATCGAGAGCATTGGACGGAAGCTGGTGGTGCTGCAGGAGGCCCAGCAGAGCCTGCAGGATGACCTGAGTGCCAATGCAGCCCTTGGCAGAGAGGTAGAGAATTACATCAAGGGGGCCTGCAAGCCCCATGAATTTGAGAAGTTCCGCCTCGCCATAGGCGACCTGGACAAGGTGGTCAACCTGCTGCTTTCGCTGTCTGGAAGGCTGGCCCGAGTGGAGAACACCCTCATTGGCCTGAATGCAGAGGAGGAAGAGGAGGAGGTGGGCACTGAATGGGGTAGGGAGGGCAGGGTGCTGGGCAGGGTGCTCGTGGTACAGCAGAGGGTGGCTTGCCCGCCCTGGCAGAGCAGAACTTCCCTGCAGCTAAGGTGCCCCGGGTCCCCCGTTGCTCCGTGTCGTGACTCTGGCTATGTATGCTAGGATACCACCAGGCCCAAACAATGGCTTACTCCTTTCCTGCAGACTGCAGGGTGGCGGTGCACCCTCAAAGGCTAAGTGAGTCCTTGTGCCACTCTTCCTTTAGAAACAGCCATACAATCCCACAGGGCTGGGCTTCCTGTTCAGCAAAGGGTACCCAGCCCAACTGCTGATGATGCTGTGCTGCACAGCACAGCTTCCCCGGGGCCTTTGCAGTGCCTGTCCTGGCAGCTCTAAGGCCGGGAGTTTGCGGTGCAGCCGGTGTGCCCCCTTGTCTCCCGTGGTGAGAACACTAGTGCTGCTTCTTGGGTCCAGCACGGGGCTCTTTACCTAAAGAGGTCCCAGGCGTGGCCGGCACTGACTAGCTCTCTCTTCTCCTCTCCCCTGCCCATCCCCTGACCAAAGATGGCCCTCCTGGCGAAGAAGCGACAGCTGACAGCACAGCTGGAGGATGCCAAGGAGCTGCAGGAGCATGTGGCTCAGCGGGAGCAGCTCGTCTTTGCCAGCGTCTCACGCTGCTTGCCCCCCGAGCAGTTGCAAGACTATCAGCACTTTGTGCGCATGAAGTCTGCCTTGGCGATCCAGCAGCGGCAGCTGGACGATAAGATCAAGCTGGGTGAGGAGCAGCTGCATTGTCTCTGGGAGAGCCTGCCTCTGAGGCCCAGGAAGCACTAGAGGAGCCAGGACCCAGCTGGCTGGGAGGAGGGCTGGATGCAAACTGCAGGACCTCTGCAGTCCTCTGTCCTCCGGAAAGAGATTGTGCCTTTTGCCAAAGAGCCTGTTTGTTCCTCCTCTCTGTGGCCAGGGAAGACGGGGTCACCCACCTGCCCTTTGCCACAAAGATGTGCCCACCTGCAGTTAGGATCAGTTGTCCCGGCTGCTGCTCAAGAAAAGACGGCTGTGGGAATCCTGAGTCACTGGAATGAAGAGGCAGCGGGGGTCCTCGCAGCCTCCCCAAAGTACCCAGCTGGCTAGATGAGGTGACCCCATCCCTTCCAGGGGTCACACAGCCTAGCATGGACAAAAAAGTTTCCCTCGCGCAATACTTGGGGGAGATGTTCCGAACTCAACTGTGGGACCCATTCCTCACCTTAAGTGCCTACAAGCCTCAAAGGTGCCTTTTCTACTGGTCCATGTTATTTATTTTCTGCTATAGCTATGTTAAAGTTTGTTTCCAAGTGAAATCTGGATGTGGGTCAGGCAAGGGCCAGGTGGCTGGATGGGCTGGCCAGGAGCACGGCACGGGCTGTTTCAGAGCCCACGTCCGCAGCAGCTTCCCCGCAGAGTCCTGCCTTGGCCCACAAAGCCCTGCCAGTGGCATCGCATCTTCGTTGCATCCTGCCAGAATCCCCACCTAAGCCCTGGGGCTGCTGCTTCAGTCTTCCCGTGGAAGGGACAGGCACGAGGTCACCAGCAGCAGCAGACAATCTCATGTGCCTCCCCTTGCCTTCCTCCTGCAGCCAGGCCTGAGTGGGCTCAGGTGGCTGCCATCCAGCAGCAAAACTCTGCCAGGGTGATAGCATGGGAGACGTTTCCTGCAGCGCCAGGGTCGTGTGAGGATCAGGCCTGGGGAAGCCTGGCTTTGCAGTGGGGTGTGGTCAGACCCCTAAGCCAGCGATGGTGGAGTGATAGCAGGCATATACCTGAGCCTGCCTTTTTCATGAGCTATGAGCTGGCTGCCTGAATTTATCCACGGGATCAACGGGCAATCCAGGCCCAGTCACCAGCTCTTTCCCTCGGCCTTGGCCAGACAGCCCTGCTCTGGGAGAGAGTCTCTCTTCTATCTTCCTGGCACGGCCTAAAGCTGCAATGCCCTGGCAAGAACATTTTTTTAGGGGGGGGGGAACCGGGACTGAATAACAAGCGCTTCTCTTTCTACCTCTCCTGTATCCACGGCAGAGGAATGTGTTGGGATCCTGCCACGGCTATTGTGACCCTAACATCCTCTTCCTCTCCATTGTCCTTGGCCCAGTGCAGGAAGCTAAGTCTGCTTGGCTTAACCTCTTCAGTGCTGGGCTGCCTGGAACTCATGGCTGCACATTCTCCCCTCGAGGAAGGGGAATAAGACCTGGGCCATGCCGCCTTAGCATTCTGGGCCTCAAGAGGAATGAAAATTCCACTGTCTGGGCTCCTGACAAGCAGGGAAGGAAGATAGTTTGTCCCTCTTTAACCCTCAAAGAGGGAGACCCAGTTTTTCCAGACCAGCTTCTCAACCTGGTGCTCTCTGGAGCTGGGACTGCAGTTCCTGAATGCTCCAGGAGGTCAAGGGTGGCCAAGCTAAACCCAGTGGCCCAGGCCACTCAGCCTTGGACTGCTTCCCACCTTGGGCTTCTAAGGAGGGACTTGTGATCCTTCCTCTGAAGGGCTGAGCCGGCCTTTATTCTTTTGGAAAGATCTGGGCTTAAGGGACTTGAACGCCTGCCCGTTGGTACCCTTCTGGAAAAGTACTCAGATACGACAGCCCATAATTACCAATGGACCACTTGGCAGTTGCCTTCTGTTTCTGCTTTAGTCTCTGCTGGTCCTGGAAGTGCCCTGAGAGTGGGGGCGAGTCTGCCGTTTTGGAAGCTGGAGTCAGGAGGCAGCGGTCAAAGTCACAGGTCAGCCTCTTTCTGCTTTTCCCAGGGAAATCTTGGAAATTCGCCCTGTGTCTTCCAACCTGACCTCCTACTGCCTGCTCCCCCCCCCAAGTATTTCCGGCTTGCTTGAGACGAAAGCCTTTTGTGCGGAGTTGGCTGTAAAAGCGTGGCACCAAAAAGAGGAGGCCAGGTTGCCTGGTGACTCTCCAGGCCCAGCTTCTGGCTGTCCAACACAGGACTCTGCATCGAGTGGGAAGGAGCTCTGTGCAACCTAGGACCTTGGCGATTACCAGCTTCCCCTTCCTCCCCTTCCATGTCTCCCACCTGCAGCTCCCTGTACTTATTTGTAGGGACAGGGCTGTTCCCTGCCCATTCCTGCCCCTCTCCCTGCCTGGCTTGCTCTGAGCAGCTGCTCTGCCCAAGCAGCCCCTCCTCAGCGCAGGTGGAACCCAAGTGCCAACTCTGGAGGCATGTTGCTATGTGATTAAATGCTTGAGTTGCTGGCTGTAATTTTGTGCTTCCTACACACCAAAGAATCTATGGTTCCTGT